ATGCATTTCACTGAGTGTTGCTACCATTGTGTGAAGCAGTGGTTGATGGACAAAGACACTGAAGAAGTCTCCCAACATAATTTGTAATGAACAGAATATTTGTTCCTCTCAAAAAGGTCTTTAAAATGTTCAAGGTTTAGTTTATCATCTCTCACTATGCATGAAGATTTGTCTGGATATTTTACAAACATTTAATTGACAATGTCATCAGTGTATATTTCTACAACAAAACTGGGTTTGTGCAACTGTTGTTTTCTTATGGTGCAGTAAGTAGGTAACTGATGAAAATGTTTTGGCACTCAGTAGTGTGCAGTATGAAACTTTTGCTGCACCCACTTGAGAAAGGACTAACATAAAGTTAAAGGTGTTTGTACTGTAGAGAGATGAATCTGGGAAAGCAAAATAGTGGCATTAGCTAAATAAACCTACACAATGTTTTTGAGGGTCAACAATGAACATTTGAGATAAATGGGAGAGATCACCAGATGATCAAAATGCATCAAGCTATCTATAGGTATAGATTATCCTCATAGGCTCATGGGAATTGGCAAATCAACATGGAAGTGCAGTGTGTGAGATTGATTGCCTTGGAGGTCTTCTTCTTTCTCTCATTATAAGAGAGAAGATGTCTTGTTTCTATTAGAGAAAATGTTATAATCTCATTTATTAGAGAAAAGTTTTTTTTTTTTTTTTATCAAAATGTATCCCTAGTTTATCAGTATGTCGAAATGTCTATAAACAATTGAAGTATCAATAGGATGAATCAATTCAATCCCCTTGTATTATAAGATTTATAGTTACAGTATTTTTGATGATTATAAACTACAAGCTTATAATAAGTTTATTTAAACATATTACAATCTCTTTTTTTTGAAATTTTATTTAAAAATAATTATCGATTATTTAATCAAAGAATTGATTAAATAATTATATTTTTTAAAAAATTAAATCTAGCTTAGTCAGTAATTTCTTTAATAATAATAATTATTATTATTTCTAAAAACACCGGAACCCAAAAGTGGTAATCGACGCGGCCGCCACGGGGGCTTACGCGGCGAAACCACACGGTCCATCCCGCCACGTCATTCGCCACTGCCGACCGCACCACGTGCCCCGCGGGCCCTCTCTCTCTCTCTCTCTCTTTCTCTCTCTCTCTCTCGTCGCCTTGCCCGAGGAATCTCGGCGCCTCTTCGCTGCGGTGTCCCGAGAAGCATCTTCTTGTTGACACTCGCGCGAGCGTGAGAAGCTAAAAATTCTCTTTCTCCTCCTCCGCTTCCCTCCCACGGGTTCCCTTATCGTCTCGGATAAGTCTCTTTGTGGATCAAGCTTTCAAGAATCTCCATGGAAACCATTATATTCCTGCAGGAGGAACCATGTCCCATACAGCAGCAGCAGCAGCAAGTGAAACAACCCATCAAGTCACACTCTCAAACCTCATCCGCCACACAGTACCTCTCGAGTGGTTCATAAAGCAGCACCCAAAAGGAGTGGCAATTCCCATGTAAATGCATCTCCTCCGTCAATCTCCTGTTTGCGGTCCATTTGTCCTGAGATAATGGTTCCGAGGGACTGACTCATTATTAACCGGAGGAATCCCACACACCCTTGTGGGCACCGAGCTCAGCTTCCTCTTCCCCATGCTTCTTCTGCAGGCAGTAGTGTTTTAGGATTCTGCATCACCTCCATCATCAGATTTCTCATCTAATAATCCATGGGGAAACCATTGGCTCAAACCATGGGCACCTGTTATTCCATCGTTTAGGGTACTGGAAGACAAAAAGTAGAAGCGAGCTTGGTCATTGCGCCACAGGTCAAATTAGCTCGAACTATATCAAGGACGAGTCCAGCTCAGTATAGAATCCAAGAAATCCAAGAAACCTTCCTTTTCCTTGTCTTCTTCCCTTCTTCTCCCTGCATCCACCTCCTGCAAGGAATCTAAAGGCTTTGGTTGGATTCCTTGTGCCTGTGATGCACATCGAGTTGGCTTTTCAGAAAGGGAACAGTCGGTCCTCACGGCATCCCATCTGATGATGTCTTGGATTCCTTCCATGGGGATCTCGAACCTAATCATTGCTCTTCCCAACCATTGCCACAGCACATGACAACAAGGCATGGCAGTGCAGCAGCTACTGCTGCATGATGTTATTGTTTCTTGTGATATATATATATATATTAATTAATGATGTTGAAGATGGTGTTTGTCTCATAATTATATGATCATCATGTGGAATAACAAGAAAACAAAAAAGATTACCTGCGGAAGGTCACCTCTAAAGGAATCATCTTTCGCCTTCTTCCATCTTTTCGGCAAACCTTTCGACCCCACCTCCACCTAGAATCCTTATCGCATGCTTCCAAGCGAAGTCCCAATTGATTACCCACTCGAATGACATCACCGAATGTTCATTATTTGAATGATCGTTCATATTCTGTGGTTGCCTTCCCTTCCTATTTCCTTTTTCTTTTTCTTTTTGGTTTCGGGTTTATAACCCAAGAAAAAACCACAAAAATATATTGGAGGAATTCGAATCACACACGTGTCATGACATCGGTGGAAGTGTACGTTTGGGTTGTACGCGGCGACCGCGCTCGGTCGGGAGAAAAAGCGATGCAGGAATCACGGGCTTTTGCGCTTCCTAAAATACCCCCGAGGGATCGCTTTCGGAAACGTGCACTACTTTCTTGCAAGGCGTCGAGCACCGAATCCAGGATTGGGAGGACACAGGGCATCTGATGATTCCACGGTGGTTTTGGTAATGAGAGAGCACGGGGTGGAGGGAGCGTATGGGATACGGTCCAAGGTGGTGGGTACGCCGTCACAGGATTCACGAGCCGTCACAATCACCTGATGTATCCTGACGTGTTTCTGCCTCTCTCTCTCTCTCTCTCTCGTTAGCCAGCCTTATCATGTTTGGTGGTGTGTGAATTATGCTACGTTGCAATTATTGTGCCGTAAATTGGAGACACTCGGTGTGAAATTTAAACAAATATCTATTTTTAATGATAGATAAAATCTAAAAAAACATTGCTAAATGGTGTAATTTTTTTTTTCTTTGGAGCTCTTATGGCCTATCCTACACTCCCTTTTGAATCATCGGTTGCGCATAAGTATCGTTTTTAAGCTTATTTTTTATCAAATATATTATAACGATAAGATCATATATTTAAATTTTAATAATCAATTGAGCTAATACGGTATTGGTATCGAGATTATTTAGACACCCAATTGAATTTGATATTTGATAATCGAATTTCTTATGTTAGATATATAAATCTCTATTAGTCATGTCATTTCGTGATTGTAATTAAAACGTCTCTTCTTAATCTTAATAAATTTGTGAATTCTTTCATAATCATCAATGATTATAATAAGAGCTTTATGAATAATATAAAAATAATGAGCTTGAAAAATATATATCCTTAGTCTCTATCTTTAGTAATTTACTGATTCGAGAATCGAAGAAACTTTAACTCGAGACACTGATTTGAGAATTAAAGAAACTTTACGAAAACATCTTTTTATAAAGATTTTTAACTCGAGACACATGCATCTAAATTTTTTTCTTAAAATATCTAAGCAAATTACTTAAATCTCAATGAATCATGGATCTAGAAAAAAAAAAAAAAGTCAGCTCCAACTTTTACTTTAGCTCAAAGACCTAAATATGTGCTAACATGTATCAATGTTGACATTTGATTATTTGAGTGACATTGTTAGAGTTTAGTCATTGGATCATCCATTCTCATATCACTTTTTAATGGTACATTGGAGTTGAACCCTAAGTGCCTTGGTAACCATACTTTGACCTCCATTGTGAGGGGATCTTAACCATCACATGAGAAGCATGACCTATGACATTTAGTGAATCACTTGAGGATTTAGGGGGGCATAAACGGGATTATAAACAAGCAACAAAGGTCATTCTACCATTCACTAAATTTAAATTAAACCCTGTTTTTATTTGTGCAAGTTCCTTTTTTAGGTGTTTTAGATAAGTTTTTAGACCATAAGGTACTCCAACTTATCTTTTGCATTACTACTTTTTGTCAAAGTGAATCACAAAAGTATAAGGAAGTTTGCTTGTAGTAATCAAATTCCTATATATCTCCAAGCAAATCTAAGGAAGCCACACCATATATTTCTTGTAGTAATCAAAATGGCAATAATTTTATGACATTGATGTCAATCCTCCGTTACGATGTTGTTTATACTTTCGTATCTTTTTAAATTGCACATAGAATTCATTAACCACTATAATGTATTATTCACAACGCGATGTCGTATTCACATTATAACAAATATAGCATATCTGCATTATCGTACGATCCGATAGAGAAATTAGTGAGCATATATGAAATCGATTCAGTGCCGATCACAACATGATCGTAAAAAAATATTAAAAATACGCTAATGCGTAAATGCCTACTAAATTACATTTGTCATATCGACCGATAGGAATCTTTTCTAGAGTGTCCTATGCCTAATTCATTGTATCGGTTGGCAACAAAGAAGCATGAATCTTCGGTGAAGCCCTAATTTTATGGTATTTTAATTAAGAACAGCATGAGTTCGAGCTTACTTCGAGCTCGATTAAGCTCAATTCTTGCTCATGTGATCTGATTTCATGCCACTTTGTTTTCACCATTGAGACATCGAAAACAGAGAAAAGTGTTTTTAGAAGCATGTAAACAGAAACAGCGATGATGTTTCTGCTGCAAGGATTTTGTTATGACACCAAAAAGACATCCCCAATAGTTTATCGTCCTACGTGTCTCACGACTGGCCACAAATGCGGGTGGGGAAGGATTAGGAAGATTCCAAACTCGACGAGGCGGTGCCCCGACCGCGCTGGCTTGGTCGCGATCCCAGTACGCGACGACTCGGTCGACGCAACCTCGCGCGTGGCCGATCTTTTTTGCCCCTATCCGGTTCACCCGAACCGGACCGCTTTCGATCTATATAAATCAAGACCTTTCTCGCTTCTCTTGCTGCTCTCTTTGCCTCCGGTTCTTGTTCTCACGGACAGAGCGAGATAGGCGGGGCACAGATGGGTTCGTCGGCGGCGGCGGATGTCAGCTTGGATTTGAAGCTGTTCACGGCGAGAACCGTCGCCGGTTTCCTGAAGGAGGCGTTGGTGATGGAGATCGGAGACGGGAGGGTGGCGAAGCTGGAGGAGTCCGTGAGGAGCCTGGAGGAGGAGAAGAGGAAGATCGAAGCTTTCAAGCGGGAGCTCCCTCTCTGCATGCATCTGCTCACCGATGGTCGGTTGGGTGCTCGATTTGTGAGGTGTTTTCGACCTGGGTCTTTTTGAGGAATTATTTTGACTGTCTTTTCATTTCCTGTTCTCAGTGATCGAGGGGTTGGAGAAGGAGCTGGAGAAATGCAGGGGCGAGAGATGCGCGCGCGTCTTCGGTGAATCCATACCCATCAAGGAAAAATTTGAAGAGGAAGGAAGGGAAAAAGTTGAAAAGGATTGCGAGGCGAAGATGAACTGGATGAGTTCTGCGCAGCTCTGGAGCGACAACCCCAACAGAAACAATTGCAAGGACAATAAGAATGAGAAGAAAGTCACACCAGAGGTAAAAGGAGAAATTTTTCGGACGTTCCCTGTGGAAAAGATGAAACCTTTTGTTGTTGTTGTTGATGGTGATGATGATAGCCTTCTCTTTTCTCTGTATGGATGATCGGATTTCCTTTTTCCCCATCGCAGGGAGGCGGAGAGCTCAAACGCCAGCAGAAGAAGGAGAACTTGTTCCTGGAATCCAAGAGCCTGAGCGGCGGTGGCGCGTTCGTGCCATTCAAAGGCCTATCAGCCGTCACAGCGAACGGGGAGGAAGGGAAGCCCACCGTCGCCTTGCCAGACCTGTCGCTTCAGGCGCCTGCAATGGACAACGGAGCCCTCACTCTTTCTGCCGTCACCGAGGGCCACTTTGTCAGTGGCTCAGGCTCCAAGGGCGCCGGTAGGGCTCCGACCTCAGCTCCGGCGACGGCCGGTGACCACCCGAGCTCGCAGGCACAGCAGCCGCCGCCAAGGAAAGTGCGACGGTGCTGGTCGCCGGAGCTGCATCGCCGGTTCCTCTTCGCCCTTCAGAAGCTCGGCGGCGCCCAAGGTTAGATCGGAGCCTTCTCTTCTCTCACAGCCGAAGCTGGTAATTTCAGCAAAAAAAGGCATCATTTTTGTTCCACAGTCTAGGAAACCATGCGAAATTTGTAGCTTTGGGTAGTGACTAGTGTTGGAAATTGTCCCTCGTTAAGGATGCGATTGATTGCGATTTCTACTTGTTGCAGTGGCGACTCCTAAGCAGATTAGAGAACTGATGAAGGTGGACGGCCTCACCAACGATGAAGTGAAAAGCCATCTGCAGGTAGGTTCGAACGCTTCGATCTTCATTTCCGCACCTATTTATTTATTTTTGGATCAAATTAACACAACTTTTCCTCTTCTGATCCAGAAATATCGTCTGCATGCTCGACGGATGCCTAATTCTTCAGACGCTGTGAACCGACGTGTTGCAGTTGCAGGAGGCGTGTGGGTTCCCGAGGAGCAGTATAGCAATTCCTCGCAGCAGAGTGTTTCTCAATCTGGCTCTCCACAGAGCCCTCTTCAGCTAGCTGGGGCTACTCCAGTGGTGTCTGTTACTGCCGGAGATAGCTGCGAGGAAGAAGATGGGAAGTCAGAGAGCTTTAGCTGGAAATGATGAAACTTACTGCTTCATATACTCGAGAAGAAGGTTCAAATATTGGAGAGTTCATGAAATCCATGTATAGAGAGAGCTTTAGAGTTTTGCTGATAGGATATATGAGAGAAACTGATGTGGTTGGAACATATATATATTTTACATAGGTTAAAGGAAGGCATAGCTGATGCTTGGCAGAGAAGTGACTGAGCTCTTGAAAGAAAACATGATTTTACATTAGGTTAAATCTTCCTCTCATTCTTCCATGTCTTTTGACACCATTCCAGGGTGGGTGAGAAGCTTTTACTGATTCGTGTGTTCTAAAAGGATTATGACAGATACAGCAGCACATTAGATGGCATTGGTTTCATTTCAACGACTGAGAAATGAGTGTTCTCTCTACTCTCCAGTGGGATTCTCGAGTGAGATCTTCATGGAACAATTCTCTGTTCATGAATTCTGCTTTGCGATTCAATACCTCCGCATCCCCTTCCTCACCCTGACTGAATTCTTGTTCCGCCAACCATGATTCTGTGGAACACTCTCGTCTCCATGTAGATTGTCTCTTTGTTGATCAACTATAATCGACATCGTCAACATTCAATCTTTGTTCTTGCTTCATGTTATCCTGCTAAACAAGCTTGTTAGCATTCATCAACACCGGAGACGGGGATGGCATAGTCTCTCTGTGTCTTGCACATCAGGAATCTTTTGGACTCCAATGTGATCTGACACAAAACACACTGTGGTCGTCCGTGTACACGGAAAGGGAATCTCGAATGAGTCTGCCCTGCTGCCATACCACGCTTTGGAGCACCTGCAAAGGATTCCACAAACAGCTTGGCAGCAGAAAGCCGATTTACCCACTGCTGTCACCTTGGTTTTCTCCATCATCTCATCCATCTCCTGCAAACACACCGATCCTTCTCGCGGAAGCTCACGCATTCACGTAGCAAATCATTGAATTCATGTAAAGCTGATGAATCTCTTGGGAGGGTTGGAAAAAGCTCCACGACAAAGACATGCATGTATATGGCCTGATCGAGGGAATATTTGTCCTCTAATCGTAAGTACTAATCTAACAGAAAAAGGATAAGACAAATTGATCGAACACATCACGTCAGCATCGATCATAATAGAAAGTATTTCTTCGATACTACATGAGGTTTGGGCAAAAAGAAAATTCTTTAATGGTATTTGAGTTCTTCTTTCCCTCTATGCTTTCTCCGAGCCGAGACTCCATTTATCTACGATCTTTACTTACATGGCATGGGAGAGCACGTATATATTATATCGTTTAAACATCGTCAGCATTATCCACACAAAACATGATTCTCATCGTCAGCTATCTTCGTAATTCGGATTGACAGTGACTTCCCAACCAACAATAGCAAAAATGAAACATATGTCCAACATAGGAAAGCTACAAAAGGTCTCATCGGATTGTACATTTCATCATTATCTTTGATCTCAGTCGCCCATCTGCTTAAAATTTGCATTCGATCTTCGGTGCATCACAGATAAGCTCTCGTACTGGTGTTTCCAGTCTGATCAGATTCTCATAATCCACCATATCCGATTGAATCATCAGACGTTGAAAGCTTCCTAACAGTGGAATGGATGGATCTGTAACTTAGCCTGGCTATCACTGTCGACGCTTGCTAACAGGTGAAAAGGATATCCCCACCTTTAATAATGCGAAGTTCCTACCGCTTGAGATGGAGAGAAGAAAAGCAAGATAAGATCGCTAGCTTTTCCCTCTCGGCTCACACACAGCGTTGGCGCGACTGTAACAGAGTACAAACGTGAAAGCAACACGAAGACCATCGAAGATTGGAGAACAAGCAACGCTGCGGCGTCGCCTCTTGTCCTCTTCAACTCTGTATAAGATCCCAAATGCACTTTTCTCGGGAAGAAAGATGATGTTAGTTTCATTAGAAGTGAATAAATATTATAATTGGTTTATAAGGTTGATAAATGCAAGCCTTGGGGTAGATACTACTATTAACTTGGGCTTAATAATAAGATCTAATTTTGGGTTATGTTGGATCTTGACGACGAAGTGAAAGCACTTTATTGTGACACATCAATTTAGTCCAACGGACTAAGTCTAGTAACACTACTGTTAATTTTGATTTAAGTATTTTGAACAAATGGTTCAAACATATTAAAATTAAGTATTTTTAGCATTTCATTTTGGCACCATCAAATTAGGAGATTACTATTTGTATTTTTTTATTATTTATAATTCTATTTTAAGAATTTTAAATAGTCCTAAGTTATCTCTTTATAAATAGACATATATATATATACACCTCTAATTTATAACCTAATTTTAATAAAATCCTTTTACTCCTCACCTACAATCTTTTTTTCTTTTTCTTTTTTCTCTTCTTTTTCTTCTTCTCCCCCAAGAAAAAAATAGATAATAAGATAGGACCAACTGAAGATCGAATAAGAGGAGGTGATAAATAATTTTTTATATTTATTATAATGATTTAATATTTTTAAGGTTATGTATTATAATAGTCTAGAAGATATCATCTTATAGGTCAGTTGCATTAATCTATATTAGTCTTTACAAATTATACAATAAGATATATAAGACGTTGGGGAGAGCTAGTGATAATAGTATGCGCAAACCACGGCTACGAGGAAAAAAAAAAGATAAAAATAAAATTAAAGGCTATGAATAGTATAATATTATTTTATTAAGTTTTAAGATATTATGAATAGTAAAAGGGGGTTCTAAATAATGAGCTCTCAAAATTAACAGTCTAGCTAATCTATTAGGTTAGGTCGTGATGATTGATCCGAGTTTGATTTTGGGCTATGTTAGATCTTGACAAGAATGTTAAAGCTTTTCAGTGAAAGAGATTATAATACCTCTATTTAGTTTTACATTGGAAGTATACTAAAATTGGTATACTATTATTAACTTCAATTTAAGTATTTTTGGTAAATAGTTCAGATACAATAAGGTTAAGTATTTTAGCAAGTGGTTTTATCACAATAAAGTTAACGATTCAGTTATTCCATTAGGTTGGGTTGTGACAATTGATCAAAACTCGATTGAAGCTATGAAAAATTCAATTTATCACGATAAGTAAATACAAGTGAGAAGTATGTACAAGAGAGAGATATGTAAATTAATTTATAAAGGTTAAGTATTACACAGTAATATTATCGCTTCAAGCGATACCCTAATCGAATTATTGAATTGATGCCAACCATGTTGTTTTCATACTCAAACGATACCATCATCCTCTGATTGGTACCACAACCTAATGGGTTGCTAAACCTAATAAGGGCCCAATACAGTCGAAGGGCTTAGCCCATTGCAACCATAAACCATCACACCCGAGTTAGCTCAATTTTAGCTCATTTGACATCACAATTTAACGTTGTTAAAGATTAAACACATAAATTAACGTGAATGATTCTAATTAGAATATCTTAACGTGTGCATGTCTGACACCCCCTATATGGATGGTTTAAATTAGTGCTCTCTAATATCGTTATGCATCTCTTACCTCTTACACTCTTATATGTATAGTTTAAGTTGGCACCCTTGATATTTTATTGTGTCTTCCGTGTGTGACATCTCATACATGATGCTTTCATTCATATTTTCTACATTGAATGCTATAGTTTACTATATTTGATTTCAATATTAGAGGTAGAACTCATTGAAGTAGCTGATAGACTAGATAAGCATAGTAGCTGTCTGCTCTATGATTCAATTATTATTCTATTTTATTTTCGATTCTATAACCTATGCATTAGCCTTTAGGGGATCAAGTTGGGATGATTTATCGGTGCTTCCTTTTATCGTCCCATCGATTTACATATTACATATTACAGTCAATAGGAAATATATTGTGTATAGTCAATATTTATTTATATATATTTAAAACAGTGCAATAAATCTAGCAATGGTCCTATTTATATTCATAAAATAATATTCATATCAATGTCATGTCGTGTATGAGCAGTAGTAGTAGTAGTTTGGATACAAATGAGATGGGGGTGAGACCCTTTAGCGGTCCCACTAATTTTATGTTCGTTATGGCCGCAAGGATTAACAACCAATTAATTGGTCACAGGCTCCGTGGGGCCCTCCGTGGGCCCATATTATCATTTAAGGCCCACAAACTAATACCGGGTCAATTACGCATCATGAATAATAATAATAATAATGACGATGATAACAGAAAAAGGAAATTGGCAGGTAAACGTTTTGACGTTGGGGGAAATGGTTCAGTTCCCGTTCGCCTTCGAAGCCGCGTGGGGTGCGACACCCAAACAAATATGTCGCCCTCCTCATCGCCCCTCTTGATCCCTTCTCGCGGTTTCCTCGCCCCTTCTCTGTGGGCGTCGCCATAGGCGATCGGAGGTTGCGGTCGGGGTTTGGTCTCTTATTACTGTGCTCAGGCATCTCGCGTCGTGCCATGTTCGATTCTTGCTCCCGCGATGCCGTGGTGGAACCGGAAGATCGCCGTCCCCCCCTCCTCGTCCTCCTCCTCGCCCTCTCCCTCTCCCTCCCCCTCCTCGGTTGCCTCCTCCCCAGGCGGCCGTAGCCGGTACAGCAACCTCCGCTTGCCCTGGAGCCGCCGCGGCGACGCCCAACGCCGCGCCAGCCGCCACCACGAGTTCCATCGCCTCTCCGACATCGAGGACGATGGGTTGTCCTTCGATTCTGGAGCCGCCGCTTCCGGTGGCGGCGACCGCTTATCCGTGAGTTCGACGCCGGTGTCGCGGTCCCCGAGCAATTCAAACTGCAACCCGGGCCGGACTTCATCATCCCCAGCGTTGTTGCCGCATCCGCTCCCCTTGCCCGAGTTCGTGGCACCGGCAACGGCGACGGCACCTGCGTCCCCTCGACGCGAGTCCACGTCGGCCCCAGCGCTGGGGTTTGGGTTTCCATCACCGAATTGTGCCCGCTGCCCTCTGCCTTCACCAAGAGAGGCTTCAAGCAGATCGGAAGGTTATGAAGGGTGTCATGCAGCTGCAGAATCTTCCTCCATCGGGGAGCCACTCAACAAAAGGGCCTCTTCGGCTGGTGCAGAAGGAAGGTCAGAATTTTTCTAGTTTCCTTTTGAAAGACATATTAATACTAGTCACGCCAATCTTTTACTAATCAAGATAGGAATTGCAGATTTGGTTTTTATATTAATTTATTTGATTTAATTTCATAAAGAAGTTGTTTGGAACCCCTGCAAAGAATGTAATTGTTTCTTTTGTGTTTTTTTTTAATGTTTCAATGGATAGGAACTGCCTTACATAATAGCTAGAGCTGTGGTTTACTTCTGTTGTATGACTTTTTCTGTTTTTGCTGTGACAATGCTTGTGGACCTTATTGTTCTCTATCATTCCTGTTCAACAACTGAGAAGCATATGAGTTCTATGTTTCATTATCCTCTCTATTTAACAACCTTGCTAGTTTAACCATCTAGTTTCATCTTGATAAAATTAAAGCTCCGAGTGCTTGGGTTACAATATTGTTACTAATATTTTTAGCATAACATTTCAAGCTATAAATAGTATGCTCTGGCTTTCCTTGGCATACTTTGGATTTGCATCTTTGGCATCTTTTGTCTTGTCTGTCCTTCTGTTTTCCTGACCATGTTTTTGTTATATGTTAGTTCCTGTGGCAGAAGTTCATGTGCCCGTGCACATGGATATTGTTATTGTTTAGATGAAGGAACCTATCTTACATTATCAAGAAATTTTCCTGATTGGTTGGTTCAATATTATCAACATTATTTCAAATGTTTACTAGCTAGTCATGTTTTTTTAACGTATGCATTTTTCCTTTATTTACTGATTTTGCGCTGTTTGTTTTTTATATTCTAATGGAACTTCATACAAACTTGATGATTTTTTTTCTGTTATATTTGCTACTATGTCACATTAGCCTTTTTGTTTGTTGTTTTTATGTTTCTTTTGTTATCCTATTCAGTAGCTTGTGGTGGGAACTATGTGGTTTGCCAAGTAAATTGCTCACCATGGGCCCAGCCTGTCACTGAAATCCAGCTTACATGCTTGAACTTGATTGTAAAACAATGTCCCTGAGCTTCCTGGATAATCTGCCAAAGAAAACACTAAACATGTTGAAACCACACCAAGATTGTACCCATAATCATTTTACATGGGAGTGAAGATTCCCACATGGTGCATATTTCTTTCATTTTGATAAGGACATTCTTTTATTTTGGTTGATGCTATGGAGTCAGTTTTTCCACATGGTGACTTTGCCAGAAACAGGTTATTCCACATGCGTCTCTTCTACTGTAGGCACCTTATGTTTTATTTTATTAACCAGAAGATATTTTGTGTAAGCAATATTTTTAATGATTGCCTTCTTTTTATTGGTACCTTAAAATATTTATGGTTGCTTATTGATGCAGTAGGCTGCCTCACCAGACTTCACATAGACGACCAGAGCACAGTGGAATATCATTAAATGGATTTACTTTTAGACGTCGCAGAAAGATATATCAGGATCCAAATTCTGCTGGAACTGTTACCTACGGGCTTAATATGCCTGCAAAAAGTGCTCCAACAAGCCAGTTCTCGAGTCCTGTATGTAGTCCTCGGAGATTGAGTAATGCAGACTTTTCCACTTTTGGGATGGCAACTCCAGGGATTGAGACCTGGTCAGCTCCAGAGCTCCCCCCTGTAGATGTGGTGTCACTTTTCTCTTCACAGACTACATCTGAGCAAGTTATTGGCAGTCCTGATTGTTCACCACTTTGTAGTCCAACAAGTAGAAGTCCCATCTTAATATCCAGAAATCCCAGTGCACCTTCTTCTCCATTGCATACAAAAATATTGTCAGATAACTCTGTTCTGTGGCATGAAAATGGTAGTAATGTTAACGTCCACCCACTTCCTCTGCCTCCTGGAGCTGCATCTTCTTCGCAATCAGGATTCTCTCATCAGAGTGCTGCAAAAGCTGAGGCATTGCCTATGAGAAGTCAGTGGAAGAAAGGAAAACTCATTGGAAGTGGCACATTTGGGAATGTTTATGAAGCCACCAACAGGTCCTTATATATCATGTTTGATTTATAATATTTTAAGCCTTTGTCTGCTTCTTTGACATAAATATATTTTTCGACAGGCACACTGGAGCCTTATGTGCAATGAAAGAAGTTAATATTATTCCGGATGATGTCAAATCAGCTGAATGCATAAGGCAGTTGGAACAGGTCAGTTCTTCATACCTGCCTGCCACATTCTCTAGTAATGACCATTAACTATTCCTTTATGCAGAAAGCCGTTCCTTGTTGATTTTAATTGATTATCTTTCAAATCATATCTGATTAGTGTTAAAAACCTTTGAGTAATCTTGACTAATACATATTAAGTTACTGAATAACAATTTTTTATACTCTCATGTTTTTCACATCTTAATAGTGCATTATCATCATCATCATCATCATTATATATTACTTTTATTATAACTTCTCCAAATGTTTTTTGTAGTGATTTCATTTGCCTGAATTATGACGTTCATTATCTGCTAACTGACTATCTGTTTTTCCCTTGTTGCAGGAAATAAAGTTTCTTAGTCAATTTAAGCATCCAAATATTGTGCAATATTATGGGAGTGAAACAGTGAGCTTTTTGTGGTTATATTGGGTACTTCTGTACTCCCTTCTTTTGCAACTTTCTGGATGAATTTTTGTCTTGTGCGCAGATTGATGATCAGCTTTACATATATCTTGAGTATGTTCATCCCGGTTCAATCAATAAATATGTTCGCCAGCATTGTGGAGCTATGACAGAATCAGTTGTCCGCAATTTTACCCGCCATATTCTTAAAGGGTTGGCCTACTTGCATAGTAAAAATATAATGCACAGGTTTGTATTTATAAGTTGAGGTCACACTTCAAATCTAAATATTAAAGGAACTATGATATTTGGTAAAATGACTCTAAAGTCTTGCTTTTCACACCTCTGACCCTTCATTGGCTTTTAAATTTTTACGTGCTTCTCTTTCCTTGCTTTTTAGATCTCATATCTAACTGGTGCAATATGATCTACAATTGGAGAGGCCTGTTGCTGAATGGCTTTGGCTTAGGGTAGGAAGCCGAAGTTTCATTGAGAGAAGTCTGAAGTAGATTTGGCAATGATAGAGAAACTAAGGGTAGTGCACTTGAGGAATTCTGGTCTCATATTGAAGTTTTAAGTAGAATGGACATACTAGGTAGAAGTTGGAGCACATGGTCTTTTACTCCAATCATGTTATTTACCAGGATATATTTTTTTAAAAGGCTTTATCATCTTGTGCCACAATCAAGTTCACTTGCAAGTGCATTATTCGTTAATCTGTACAGGTACTTTCAAGCTGTTGATTCTCATGGTTAGTAATATTGGGGTCTTAACTAGATTTCAAGATTGAATAGGAGTGCCAGATTGAATAGGAGTGCCAGTTGACTTATTTTCTTCATTGAGTACCCGAAAAGAATTGACTGATGTGATATCTTTCTTCTAATCTTCTCATTTGGAGTTTTTATAGTATTATAGATGTCATTCACTGAAGTTGTCATTACCTTCCTTACCAATTATTGGTCTTTCTGTAAGAGTTGATTCTACCTAAGGATTGTTTTTTGCATCCTAAGTTCCTAACTACTGGTTTATGCAGGGATATCAAAGGAGCAAATTTGCTTGTTAATGTTCATGGCATTGTCAAGCTGGCCGATTTTGGGATGGCAAAACATGTAAGTGTAGCTTTGTGATTTTAACAGGTTTGATTTATTTTCAATTGCTATACCTATGCCAATTAGAGTATCAAAAATCATCCAACATATGTCATCTTTTTTTTAGTTTCTCATTGTATGCTGTTCAGTAAAGATTACTATAGCAATATAAAACATGCATTCTTGCTTTTTGCCTTTTTCTTGCATGGAGAACAATTTGTCACAATGCATTACTTCTTGCAACTTTTTATCTTAAGTAGGAAAGGAAGATATTGTGATCATCTCATGGATGATCGATTGCAATTATGCATCTAGGACTATATTGATTGATAACAAGCAAGAGTTAATTACCCATCTAGGACATAATAAGCAAGAGTCCTTTACAGGTTTAAGCAATTAATGGTTCGTGTTTTAAATTTGAAGTTTTAATAAGAATTGCAAGGCTGAAATAATTATTTCAAAATTTGATCTCGATTACCAGGAAGAATTTAATTTCATATGGTTGGGCATGATTTATTCTGGTTAATTAATTTTAGATGAGCATTACATCTAGTCGAATAGTAGGCCCATGTCTTTGGATATAATATTGTGTCCTTACCTATTATACTTGGTAGTATGTTCTGGGTAAGCTGCAAATGCTGGATTTAATTTTGTTCTCTAATGATATTTTTGGTGTAAAATCTCCTGTACTTTTATGGCTGTGCATACACAAATTTATGTATATACAAGTACATGCATGCATGTGTACATACCTGAAA